GGTGCTATGATGATCACCGGGACCGAGAGAGACATTCTTCGCCTTCACGAGTTTCTCTCTCGCCTTCGTCCGAGTTCGAGACCGTTCGAAACACGATTCTTGACTCGTCGTCGCGCCCATCGCTCTCGGGCGATGCACGAGATTCTGGTGAGGAGACACGTCTTGAGTGGGGTGTTCCACCGCAACCCTCCGTCCTAGCACCCACACCTCCCGAGTCTCTCGCCTCCGTCTCAGCCCTCTCATGTGGTGACGGGGGCACCTTCTGGTATTCAGTGTGGCTACTGCAAGATCTATGGTCATGAGGAGAAGGATTTGTCAGAAGAAGTAGCTTGACCGATCAGCGTCGTTGCAGATGCTCTTTAGGGCTCGTGGTTCCTCTACTTCTGAGCACTCGTCCCGTGTCTGCAGTGGGGGGGGGAGGTTCTTGCCTGTTTTCGTCGCCTCACTCTGCAACTTAGGCCTCGGGTCACGGGACTACAGCTCGAGCTTCTAGTTCCGCTCCTCCTCCGTCAGTATATCATCCCCATGGTTCCTCGACTCTGGTGCCTCTTTTCATATGACACCTCATGCAACACACTTGTCCTCTCTATCTTCCCCGATCCACCTATTTCACTCTGACCGCAGATGGCACTTCTCTTCTGTTCTTTGGGAGAGGTGTTCTTTCGACCTCTTCGTTTAATATTCCCTCTTGTTTTCGCATGTTCCCAAACTCACTATGCAACTCTTGTCTGCTGGGTCAAATCATGATCATGGCCATCGCATAATCCTTGAGTCTCGATTCTTGTTGTGTTCGGGATCTCCGTGACGGGCCTTTTGGTGGGAGGCGGCTAGGTGTCGGGACTCCCAACGCCTCTGGGAGCTTGATTGGTTGCGTCTTCCTTCACCCGTTTTGGCTCCCACATCACCCAGTTCTCCAACATCCGTGTCAGCTGCTTCGTCTACCACTTCTTTTGCGCAGTGGCATCGTCGTCTTGGTCACCTCTCTGGTTCTAGATTGTCCACCCTTGTTGGTAGTGGTGTGTTAGGTCCTGTTTCTGGTGACACTACTCTTCATTGTATGGGTTGTAAACTTGGCAAACAGTTGCAACTCCCTACCCTTCTAGTGAGTCTAAGTCCCAGAAACCTTTTGATCTTGTTCACTCTGATGTATGGGGTCTAGCACCTTTTGTTTCAAAGGGGGGTCAATCATATTATGTTATTTTCATTGATGACTATTCGAGATTTACCTGGATTTATTTGATGTCTTCTCGTGGTCAATTTCTTTCTATTTACCACCAATTTGCCACCATGATCCGTGCCAGTTCAACTCTCTCATTCGAGTTTTTCGTGCAGATTCTCTTTGGTGAGTACATCTCCACTTTGCTCATCGTTCCTACCTTTCGAAAGCGGTACTCTTGCCCAATTTTCATGTCTGGGTGCTCATGCTCAAAATGGTGTTCTTTGGCGCAAGCATCGCGCCACACTCTTGAGACCGCTTCGTGCTCTCTTGATCTCTTCTATGCTTGCTCCTCATTTTTGGGGTGAGGCGGTTTCTCAATTGTTTTTCTTATAAATCGCCAACCCTCTACTTGTCTTCGTGGTTGCACTCCCTATGAGCGCCTTTTTGCACCCTCCTTCCTATAGCCATCTTCGTTGTTTTGGGGTGTATCATACGTCCTACTTCCACCTCGTGAGCGCACCAAACTCCTTTGCTCGATCTGTTGAGTGTGTTTTTCTTGGGTACTGATGACGGAACATAAGGGTTATATCTGCTATGACCTGTTGCTGTTCGTCGGATGAGGATTTCTCGGGATGTCACCTTGATGAGTCCCGGCCTTACTATCCTCGTTCCCCTTAGGTTCTTCTGGTACCATGAGTCTCTCTCATTTCTCACGTTACAGAGTGGTATCTTGGCTGTCGTCTCCATCCTCTTCACCCCCTCAGGTATCTTTTACTCCGCCTCCACCACCACCACCTACTTCTCCACCTTCACCACCTCCTCCTACCTCTCCACCACCAGTCTCTCCTCCACCATCATCGTTGCGTCCTTCCCGTGAGATCACTCACTACTACACTCGTCGTCCGCGCCCTGCACCACCACTTGACTCTTCTCTATCCGTCCTTGGACCTCATCCCGAGTTTCCTCCTCGTTATTCTCTTCGTGATCGTAGCACCCTTCGTCCTCCCGATCGCCTTGGCTTCACTGCTGCCGTCTTGGCTGAGCCCGCGACCTATCGGGAAGCTGCCGTTCACCGGGAGTGGCAACATGCTATGGTTGAGGAGATTGCTGCCCTAGAACGTCATTGCACTGGGATCTTGTTCCTTTGCCACCTCCGTCACTCCTATCACTTGCAAGTGGGTGTACAAGGTAAAGACCCGCTCGGATGGCTCTCTTGGCGCTACAAGGCTCGTCTTGTGTGGCGGCAACTCAACGAGAGCAAGGTCGTGACTATGAGGAGACCTTCGCTCTGTCGCGCACATGACTACTTTCGCACTCTTCTTTGCGATTATGGTCGATATCCCAGTTGGATGTCAAGAATGCCTTCCTCAATGGCGAGCTGCGAGAGGAAGTCTATATGTAGCCACCTCTAGGATACTACATTCACGATGGCACTGGTTTTTGTCGGTTGCGGCCGTTTTCTCTCTGACCTCAAGCAAGCTCCTCGGGCACGGGTTTGGCGTTTCTCCTCTGTTGTCATCGATCTTTGGTTTTACGCCAAGTGATCACGACCCTGCTCTTTTTGTTCACACTTCCCCTCATGGTCGCACCCTTCTTCTTCTCTATGTCGATGACATGATCATCACGGGCAATGATTCCTAGTACATTGATTTTATGAAGCAGCGTCTCAGTGAGACATTCCTTATGTCTGATTTGGATCTCCTTCGTTACTTTCTTGGTCTTGAGGTCACCTCCACATCTGATGGTATTTTTCTCTCTCAGGAGAAGTACACTCAGGACATTCTTTCTTGTGCTTCTCTCACTGATCACCGCACTGTTGATACTCCTATGGAGCTTGGTGTTCACCTACGACCCACTGATGGTGTACCACTTGCTGATCCTACTCGCTATCGTCAGCTTGTTGGGAGTCTTGTCTACCTTGGGATCACTTGTCCTGACATTTCTCACTCTGTGCATATCTTGAGTCAGTTTGTCTCAGCTCCTACCCAGCTCCACTATGCTCACCTCATTCGTGTTCTGCGATACCTTCGTGGAACTATCTCTCGGCGCCTTTTCTTTCCTCGTTCTAGTTCTCTTCAGCTTCAGGCGTATTCTGATGCGACCTGGGCGAGTGATCATTATGACCGCTACTCTCTCTCTCTGCCTATTGTGTTTTCCTTGGCTCCTCCTTGATTGCCTGGAAAATCAAGAAGCAGACTGCAGTTCCCCGCTCGAGTGCTGAGGCTGAGCTGCGTGCTATGGCGACTGTGACTGTGGAGGTGACATGGCTACGATGGCTTCTTGACGATTTTGGTGTGCCTGCCACTACACCCACTCCTCTCTCTTCTGACAGCACCAGTGCGATCAGTATTGCTCGAGACCCAGTCAAGCATGAGTTCACCAAACACATTGGCGTTGATGCTTCCTATATGAGATCGTAGGTGCATGATCTGGTTGTGACGCTCCACCATGTGCCTTCAGAGGTTCAGTTAGCTGATTTGTTCACCAAGGCACACACCCGGGCTCATCATAGATTTCTACTCTTCAAACTCAGTGTTGTAGATTTCTACTCTCCACCATGAGTTTGAGGGGGGGGGAGGGTGTTAGATGTATAGGAGGTGTATGTGTTTTCCCTCTACTTGGAGGACTTCTTTGCCTATGTACATTGTGTATACTTGCCCTCTAGAACCTTGCAATACAGCCGGTTGGCCTCATTCTAGTGCTTCTAACAACATCAAGTCCCTTTTCCCGTTTCACTTCACACGAGTCTTTGTTCACCAAGCCTGTTAAACGCCCAGCCACCAACTCAGCGGCACTTGCAGTTGCAGTTGCAACGTGAGAGCAGTATCTTATCCGTTCCGACGTGGCAGCTTCCCTACTGTAACCAGGAGACGCCACGTCAGCAGCGAGGATCCTGAACCTATCCATGAGTGGCTACTGCAGGCCACACAAGCTTTAAGGCACTTGCGCTCCATAGCCATCAGGCTGAAACACCTACCAGACCTTTTTTTTTATTCTGTTGCATTGATTGTTTTTGTTCCGTGGAAATGCTAGTATGATAAAAAAAGTTGACTCCTAATCTTAGGTAAAGTTAGACAAGAAAATGTGATTGATTCAGGAGTTGGGTGAGCAATCTTATGCTGCAATCCCATAAACAGTTAGCAGACCCACGTAACTTTCTTTTTGGATATTTATTTATACACTCGGGGTGTGAGTGTAATGTGCCATCCTTGTAATAATATTAAAAAGGCAAATGCCCTGACCAAATGCATGATTCAACTTGGTGAGGTTAAACCCCAGAAGATATCAGCCTGTTCGGCTGGCTGGCTGGTTCGTGGCTGGATCGTGGATTATTACTGCTGGCTGGTTTGGTGTGAGAGAAAAATACTATTTCGACTAGAAATTTCCGATCGTATACGAGAAGCCTAGCCTGCCGAACAGGCTGATATGTGATCTTGCTTTAATTTCTCGGAGTAAAAAAAGCGACTCATTTATAATCCATGGACATGATTAATGAGCATAGCTGCTAAAATTCTCTCTCCCAAATAGCTTTTGCGGAAGTTAACAGCAAGTGAAATCCTCATCTTTGGCCAACAATACACCACCAGCGCATCAAAATATCATGGCTACTAATTAAAGAGGAAGGTCCAGACCCTTTGCCCACCTCCACCCCAATCATCTGAAGAATCCCCTTGTTTAGCACCTGAAAAAGCCGATCGAACCTTGAGAAACTCGAGTACAGTACAAGCAACGCTGCAAACATGACATGTTTGTGAAGATAGATAGTGTAGTGAATGAATTCCTTCGTTACCAGCTCCACAAGGAAGGTGCCGATGAGGCCAATCATGCAAGCCCTGGAGTTTCAGATCTCGGCAGTCTGGGTGAACCCCAAGAAGGGCTCGCTCAGCTTGGGCTGCACCCTGGGCACTTCAACCTGAACACAACAGAAAAATGAACAGCAGTTAACTGTAGAAAAGAAACTCTTTTTTTGGCAGTTACCACCAGAAGCATTTTCTTTTTCGCTTGTACCACTCACCCCTGGAGGAAGCTTTGCAGCACGCACTCTCAGAGCAACGGCTCTGGGCGATGGCAGGCATGGAGCAAGTCTCTTGCGGCAGAGGGGTCGATGAGCCAAGAAGGATGGTGCGGAAAGACCACACTTTGCTGCCATTGCTGGGATTGTTCATGTAAACCCAGAATTTTTTTACAAAAAGTTCGAAGTTAATAGGCATCAAACAGTTAAATAGCTCGAGGTTAGAGTTTGGGAACTCGGTTTCACACAGCAGGCAGGGAAGAGAAGGGCCAGGGGTGGGAATACCTGGCGGGCACTAGCTCTTCGCCGGCGAAGGCCTCGGCACCTGGCACCTGGCGTAGGGCGGCGGCGGCGGCGGTAGCCCACCCAACCGTCGCAGACAAAGAGCGAGCGAGCGCACGGCTTTGTTTCACCTCACACAAGTCTTGGTTCACAACACTCAGCGGGACCAGCAGCTGTAAGCTGTAGCTGATCTCAGTCTCAGCTCGACGCATTGAGCATGAGCAAGCAACGTGAGAGGAGAGCAGTATCTTATCCGTTCCGATCGACGTGGCGGCTTCCCTGCTCTAACGAGGGGACGCCACGTCAGCAGCGAGGATCCCGAACCTATCCAAGAGCGGCCGCTGCAGGCCACAAGCTGCCCCTTGTGGCTCCCATCCCACGCCTCCCGTGTCCAGGCTTTAAGGCCCTTGCGCTCCATAACAAATCACGCCTGAAACACCTACCACACCACTCTGCACAGACCGACGACGACGACACAGGTGCCATACATGGCCTCCCAGCTCTCCGCCGCCGCGTCCATGTCCGCCGCCGCCGTGCCGCAGTTCCACGGCCTCCGGGGCTACGCCTCGCCCAGGTCCGCGGTGGCGATGCCGTCCGTGCGGGTGGGCAGGAAGAGGTCGCAGGGCATCCGCTGCGACTACATCGGCTCCGCCACCAACCTGGTATGTATATGTGTCGACGTGTCGTCGGATCACTGATGGCGGGGACACGGCCAGAGTGAGTACTGTAGTGAAGTTCGATGACGACCTATCACTGATGGCGTGCATATATGGTATGCAGATCATGGTGACGACGACGACGCTGATGCTGTTCGCGGGCCGGTTCGGGCTGGCGCCGTCGGCGAACCGGAAGGCGACGGCGGGGCTGAAGCTGGAGGCGCGCGACTCCGGGCTGCAGACGGGCGACCCCGCTGGGTTCACCCTCGCCGACACGCTGGCCTGCGGCGCCGTCGGCCACATCCTCGGCGTCGGCATCGTGCTCGGGCTCAAGAACACCGGCGCCCTCGACCAGATCATCGGCTAGATCCCTACGTTGTTAAGCTGAGACTCAGCAGCCTCGATCGCGCCGCCGACCGGCCGGTGCTTATGTAACGTGCGTGTGTGTACATTGCATGCATCTTGGTTCCAATGGACATAGCTCTTGTTGCTCCTTTTGGCCCCCGATCGGATATTCGGATGAGATTCCATTCCAGGTCGTAGTCATAACTGAAAAAAAACTCACCCAAGTTTTTTTTTGGAGAATCAATAAACTCACCAAACTACCCAAGTGTCCAACTCCCAAGAGCAAGCAGCTTTTTTTTTTTTTGAGGGGAAACCACACTTATTATTCATGGAGTTGGTCATAATTAAGAGAATTACAAATGCCCGAAGGCGGATTTAACACCTAGACATGCCTGCCTGTGTCAAAAGAAATCAAGCTCCTAGCTAGAGCATGAGCATCAACATTGAAATTTCTATTCTCATGAACGAAATCAACAAAAACAAAATCACGAGCCCGCTCCTTGGTCTCCTTGACAACTTGGCAATAAGGAAGAGCAAGCAGCTAACGGATGCAAGGCATAAATCTATTGGGTTGGGTCTTGTGTGCCATGCAGCCCAGTGAAATCACGTCTATGGGCCATACAGTCCAGTGAAATCCCCTCCATGGGCCGGTCCACGGCTCTAGGAGAAGATTGGCGATGGTTACGGTTTTCCTTGACGAGAGAGAAGCAAAACCCTCGCATAAACCTGCGTCACTGCAGTGCTCTGGTGCCCTGTGTTACCTTTTGCAGTTAAATGCTAGAAGAAACAAGGTGAGCAGTAAAAGTTCTTGTTCAGTTTGACGGCTTAGGCTTCAGGGCCTGTCTAATTATGGCTTGTGTTATTTAAAACAAGTATATATATATATATATATATATATATATATATATATATATATATATATATATATATATATATATATATATATATATATATATATATATGGTGTGTGCTTCTTAACTGTTTAGTTTAACTGTTTTTTATCGAGACATTAACATTTAACAATATTTGTTCTTAATGTTTCTCAACTTTAAGTTTTTTTAATTTAAATTTCTTTGAGGTGATAGTTAATGTCATAATTTATGAAAAAATGTATTATGATTTTCTATATTTATTTTATTAAGTGGAGTGGTGATAGTAGACTCTAATGATAAGTAACACTAGAAATATAAAATTATATGAAATATAATGATGAAAATGCATAATATATTTTTAAAAATAAGCTATGTTGTCTGCTATCACCTCACAAATTTTAAAATTAAGACTCAACTTGCTCGTGGAGAAAAAGAAATCTTGTTATGGGATAAAATTGGATCCTGCAAACACAAGGTTGATATGTGCCCTTGTGGTTCGGTTTGTGATGAGTGATTGTCAACGTGAGCCACGCTTTGAGTTGAGTTGTTGAGCTAACCATGGCGTGAGTTCGGGTTGTGCAACATGTCTTTTGGCTTGTGGTGTGCAGGTATGGAGCTCGGAGACGGTGGTCAAGAGGGTTCGTGTCAATGGACTAGGAACAGTGAAGGACGGATGCTGGAGCTTGGACTGAGGGACCGAAGAAGCCGGGTGATCGCCCGTGGGTGGCTGACACCGGGGGTCATCGACAAGTGCAAAAGTACATCAGAGTGACCATGTTGACCAAGTCAAGACGGCGGTCGTGCAAGTCAAGCGGAGGCTTTAAAAACTTGGCGCCAGGCAGTCGAGGACGATGGTGACACGTGTCGAGTGGTTTGGTGGTTTCAGCCTCAAAACCACAGGGTGGACGGTTTTCGAGTTTGGGCCTCAAAACCCGGGTGTGGTTCCGGCCGGAAGTGGAGGCTGAAAACCCTAGTTTGGTTTTGGATAATTGATGAAATCTATTTGGACTAACCCTATGCTCTAAGTGTGAAATTGAGATAGGTTGGTCCAATCCAAGTGGTGGAGCTAGATGATGGTCATGGTGGTGGTGATGGCCTAAGTGAAGTGAAGATCAAGTGCTCCAACTTGGAAAAGAAGAAAGAGAAAAAGAAAATGGACTCAAGGCAAAGGTATATTTGATAGAGTCATTTTGTTTCGCTACTCAAGACACCAAGTGGGTGTGAGTGGGTTTAGGATAGATAGTCGTACTATTAAGAGAGGTGATCTCGACGCAAATACGGTTGTCTAAGTGCCACTAGGTGAACTAACACCATTCATTTGCATTAGGACCTAGTAAGTGCTAACATCCCTTAGAAAACATGTTTGTGAAATGCTAACTCACGTGCACAAGTGATGAAACTTGGTGGAGTTAACACATTTGCACAAGGGATAAAGTTGGAGTTGAAAACATTGAAGGAAAGAGGGTATGGGTGTCACCGGACTCTGCGACCGGACTCACCAGGACAGTCCGTTCAGTGATCCAGGACGCGGGTAGCAGGGTGGCCGCGACTAGATGCTGGCTTGGCCAGGCGACCGAAAGCGCCTGTGCCACCGTTGCTCTGCTGACAACACGGTGGTGCGCGCGACCGGACTCTGGGCGAGTCCAGTCACCTCTGACTGGACGTGTATGATCGTTATTTTTCTGCTCTGGACCTCTCTGGATGCAGACCGGACGTGGGGCTTGGGTGAGTCTAGTCATTGGACCATCGAGTCCGGTCTTGAGTGACGAGTGTGAGAGAGTAGCCGTTGGCGCCCAATGGCTATTTCCTTTTGAACAGGACATGTGGCGCAACGGCCGTGACCAGACGTGTCTGGTCGTCTCTGCAGCGGGTCCGGTGATCACGCAGAGAAGGGGTTAAGTCTCCAACAGGCATGTGACTTGTTGAGGCTCTATAAATAGGTGTTTGCCGGCTCTAGCTCACTCTCTTGGACACTTTGATCATTGATACATCCTTGTGAGCTAAGCCAAACTCCTCCCACTCATCTCCTTCAGAGATTCATCATCTTTGTGAGATTGGGAGTGATTCAAGTGCATTTGCTTAGTGTTTGAGCATCTAGTGGCACTAGTGATCGTGTGAGCTGCGGGATTGCTTGTTACTTTTTGTGGTTTCCACCACCTAGATGGCTTTGAGCAGCAGAGGAGCATCGACACGAGTTGGTGCTTTTTTGTGGCCATCTCTAGATGATTTGTGAGGGGTTCTTGGGCTTATTCCCTGGCGGAGCGCCAAAAGCCACTCTAGTGAATTATACGTAGCTTGTGGATCCCCATCTTGTGTTGGTTGTGCGGCACTCAGTTGCGGGTTAGGCGTGTGATGCATATTAGCACGTGAACCTCCAAGTGGGTGAATCGCTACAACGGGGACGTAGCTTACCGGCAAGCAAGTGAACCTCGAAAGAAAAATTCATTGTGATTGATTTTTCACATGCCCGGTTCGGTATACATCCCTCTACCTCTCTTGTATTACATTCATATGCTTATCTTGTATAGAGGTAGTTGAAAGGTCCTAATATGGCTAGAGGGGGGTGAATAGCCTATTTAAAAATCTACAAATCAACTAGAGCAATTTGATTAGTATAACAAATGGCGAAATGCAAACTTGCTCTAGCTCTACAAGGGTTGTAAGCCACCTATCTAACAATTCTAGTTACTATGATCACTAGACACACAATTTGCTAAGTCACTACTCACTAAGAGCTCTCACACTTGCTACACTAAAGAGCTCCACTAGATGAACTTAAACTACAAAGCAAGCTCTCAATTCTAGCTACACGAAAGAGCTTGCTATAACTAGTTTGCGAGAATATAAATGAGTGAGTAGGGTGATTATACCGCCGTGTAGAGGAGTGAACCAATCACAAGATGAATACTAAATCAATCACCGGGAGAATACCAAAGGGTAAGAGACAACCAATTTTCTCCCGAGGTTCACGTGCTTGCCAACA